AAGTAATTTTGGGAAGGGGCGAAAATACTGGTTAGCTGATTGGCCTATGTTGGTGATAGACGGGCCAAATAAACCAATCAGATCAACGAAGCATATGACGTACTAACAGAGCGACGACGAAGAGGAGCCACTTGATAGATCAAACTCTTGCTGAAACCAGTCGGGAGAAGAGCAAAAACATCTTTTCCTCTGAGAAAAGCCTCCAGAGCAGTGTTTTGCTCTTCTTTCAGTGAAGAAATACTCTGTAATTCCGATAAAACTTGCTCGATAGCCACGCTAACGCTAGTTTCATCGGGTGAAGCCGCCATCTTCTTTAGACTGAACTGTCGCGCTTCTCGTTGCGTCACACCTCAACCCGCCTCAAAGCCAACGCTGATTGGACGTTCGTTTGGTGGACGGCTCCAAATTTTCTTCAACCGAGAGTCTCCAGACTGATTAGCGAGTGAAATCTTGAAAGCTCGCGAGATCAGGATGGTCTCACGAGGCTACGCTACTTTTGCCATTTCCTAAACATTTAGCACAAGGCGGTACAAAATGAAGGTGTGCATTATGTTATGATGAAAAGCTCAATAACCAAAATATGTTCCTATAGAATAATTGACACTTTTGTTTGGAAACTTTTTTCATGCCATCATCTTCCGACTTCATTCGTTAGCTTAAGGTTGCTTTGCGCTCTCGCCAGGTGTTTCTACTGGGGCTATTTTTAGCCATAGACGGTTCTCATGCCCGCCCACCAGCACACAAAGTGCATCTTACTGGGATATTCTTCTCCATTCAAAATAGTGGGATTATAGCCACAGGGAAGACGTTGAACCGATTGTAGCCATAATGCCGTAGTCTTCTTCTTTTTCTTCTGTTTTTTTAAAACCATGGCCGTTGCTGAATGTCCTCCCTAACCCCTAAATCTCTCCATCACTATATAGAGTCGGGACTATATAGTGAACTTTATAGTGAACTCAGTTAACTGACCGTTCAGACAGATGATCACTGCTTTTTGCTCCGTTGGTAACGTAACTCTCCTCCACCGCGCGGTGCCTGCGCCATCTTTGTCCCTGGATCGCTGATTGCCCGTTGGTATTACGGAGTTAATGGGAAGCCACCAACCGCCATATTTGTACTCCCTTGTTGGACCGGTCGCAATGTAAACAATCTGTGCGCTACAGCATCGAACAACCATGATTTTCTCATTTTCAGGGGGACTTTAGACTTTTAAAATAAAGAGAAATTCATCACTTTGACACAGACTGGATGTTAGTAGATTACTTTAACTTATGCTGATGAAGATTCTCAGTCATCCAGGTCATAGTCATTCCGTAGTGATTTTGAGTATATAAGACTCAAACTCACTGCCGATCCAGACATCCTGGATGTCTTCCTGGAGAGGTGGCGAAACGTCTTCAAATCTTGGAAACCAAGTCCAGTGGATTGTTTTTGAATATTTACGGAACTTTAACTTATAATAAAAAAATAGGCACTCACATTGCAGTTATTATGAAGTCTCTAAATCATGTAATATAACATATTATACAAACCATCACAATTAAATTAATGTGTTAATGGAGCAGAAGAATAAAGATGAGCCAAAAGTGCTGAGTTGATGATGTACATGTAATATGTATTTATTACATTATTGTTATAACATATAATTTTAAGATTTTACATAAAGACTGAATTACAAGTACATGTCTGTTAATGCTGTGTTTGTAAATTGTGGATGTTTGATGTCAGATACTTTTATACTGCGTCTGTTCATTAGCCTTTAAATCGGACAGATTTACAGTAGAGCTAAATTAATAATTCCACATTAATTGGTAAAATAACAGGAAGCATCAAGTTCATATTTTGCTTTTTGCTCTTAGTCACAACAAGAATCTGATCACTTGAAGAAAACTATACGTATAATTATATATATATGCTGACAGTGACAGTGAAATCTTCCCTCTACAGACAAACTGCTGGTATTTGCAGCCGAATGCTACACAGACATTTTTACTGCACGTCTCTGTGGGGGTGGGGAGTACCAGCATGGCGGACGGTGGCTTCACTGTTTTCGGACAATCAGTAATCCAATGAATAGAGATCAGTGGAACAAACACAAACGGCTGTTCGGTTAGCAATGCTAGCCAGTGGCTAGCACTATGAGGCACTAAGGACGGCTTAGATAATGAACTCTCTCATTTAGTTTTAATAAATAAACCAGCTCTGCAGCAGCAGCAGCTCCGTCCCGCACGCAGGCTGCCATCCTCTCTGCTTTTAATAAATGATCGCTCAGAGCGCGAATGTCTTTCTATCACAGTTCAGACCCGAGTAAACTTGGCATCCAGAGGTCAGATTCCTGCAGGTCGCGGCTCTGCTCCCTCTGTAAGGCCGAGCTGCATCCATCCCAGCTTTAGGCCAATTGTTGGCATAATGCATTTGCTGCCTGGCTTGTTATTAGCCTCGCTAACTGTAATCCTTTTACCTGTTTCAGGGGTGGGAGTGAGAGAGCCTGGATCACTCTGAGCGAGAGCAGGTTGATCTGCAAGCAAAGCTGCTTTGGTCGCTGAAGCACAGAGCGATTGCTGTTTCAGAACTTTAAAATACTTCATATTGGTTCCTGTGGAGCGTAATCAGATCCAGACCTTATAAGTATGTGAGAGGAGGGATTGGCCATCTTTATTTCAGCTGCGGCCGGGCGTTGGAAGGCGTCTGTCAGGCCGTCCACCTTTACCTGTGCTCTTTACCGCCGTTTGATCATCAAACTCTCCGCGCTCCGCTTCCTAAGCGGTGACCTTTGTGATGGCGGTAAAAGGATTGCGTAGGTGGAGAGAGGCAGCTTAGCGTGGGGGGGTTGAAGTCAGGTGTGGGGTGTCTGGCTGTTTGGGTTTTACATATCTGCTTTAGGGTTTATCTGTTGCTTTACTCTCTCTACCAGATATTTCTCTTCAGTGACTTTAGAAGAAATAAAACTAATTTTCCTGCTAAATTCCTAAACGAAGGTCCGTTTGATCCAGGATCATCTGATCAAATCTCTAATAAAAAGGCTTGTTTTAGTGAATGTGATTGACAGAGTTCTGTCAGCTCAGCATACTGCGTCAGGCCCTTCAAAAAAACCCAAAAAGTCTCAATTAAATAGTTTTTTCGTACATAACTAAAGAGATAATCCAAGTTTAAAGTGTTTTTAGAGAAGGGTCTAGCTGCACCTGCAGCAATCTACTCAACGCGTACAAAACACACGTCCCACCCCGCCAATCATTGAGGATATTGACTTGGACGTTATGCCATCTTGGATACAACAGCTTGAGGGATCAGAAGGAAGATTCATTGAAGTGAATCAAACATGATATAGAGGCCTACTGCTAGCTCCTACTAGCAAGGTTGTAGTTGTCAGGAATAGAATTTAAAATCCTCCTTCTCACATATAAAGCCTTAAATGGCCAAGCTCCATCTGATATCAGAGATCTGATTGTTCCTTATGTTCCTAACAGAGCACTTCGCTCTCAATCTGCAGGTTTACTAGTGGTTCCTAGAATTTCTAAAAGTAGAATGGGAGGCAGATCTTTTAGTTCTCAGGCTCCTCTCCTGTGGAACCAACTACCAGTTTTAGTCCGTGAGGCAGACACCCTGTCTACTTTTAAGGCTAGGCTTAAAACTTTCCTTTTTGATAAAGCTTCTAGTTAGAGTGGCTCAGGTTATCCTGAGCTATCTCTATAGTTCTGCTTCTATAGGCTTAGACTGCTGGAGGACATAGGGACCCCTTTTTCATCATTCTGCTTCATTCTATCTCTATTCTCCCACTCTGCAGAATCTGTTAGTTCAATCTCTAACGTTCTGCTCTCTCTGCTTTTTCTCATAGTAGCTTCATCTGGTCTGTTCCTGTTTGGCTGTGACTCCATCCTGGAGAGAAATATCAGCTGTGCTGCTGCCATCAACACCTTTGTTTCTAGATGTTGGAGCTTGGCCTGTTTTCCAGTGTAGTCCTGTTTCTCTGACTGTGACTAACTGGATGTGCTCTCTTCATCCTCTGACATGGGAGCTGGCTCGGAGCTCGTCTGCCTGGCTGTGTGTTTCCTGGACGGGGCCGCCTGTGGAGCTGGTTGACAGTTGCCTTTTGTATCTATGCTTCTTTTTCTATGTCTGCTTCTGTCTCCTTGAACCCCAGTGGGCCTCAGCAGATGGCCGCTCACACTGAGCCTGGTTCTGCTGGAGGTTTCTTCCTGTTCAAAGGGAGTTTTTCCTCTCCACTGTCGCTACAAGCATGCTTAGTGTGAGGGATTGCTGAAGAGTCAATGAGTCGATGCAGTCAGCTGGTTTTCCTTAGATAGAAAACTTTGAATCAATCTGACTGGATGATCTGGTGAACTGGAAAGTGACCTGAGATGACATGATGTGAATTGGAGCTATAGAAATAAACTGAATAGAATTGAAATAATTAAAGTGAATCAAATGTGAACTAGATGCCTACTTCTAGCAAGGTTGTAGTTGGTTCTTAAAAAAGTAATAATAATTTTGTTCAGTGTTGGGATTATAGGAATAGTTCAATCTATGATCAAATTTCTGTATAGTTTTGCTTCGTATTTTCTTTTCTTATATCAGGTAATTTTCCAGGGAGTGCATTGCTTTACATATAAAAATGAAAATGTTAAAAATTACATAAGTTAAAATCCGCAAGACATTCTTGTTAAAATGTGGATCATTCTTAATAAGATGCCTGTCAAATGGACATGCAATGTTTTGTTTTAAAAGCTAATGTGTGTAGTGGACCTGGTGTTTTGTTTTGTTGTTTTATGCACAAAACTACAACAAAACCCAGACTGAATCAGGAAATAAATCAGCGTGATTGGCTGGAAGGAGAGCAGAGATAGTAATATGGGTATGCTGGCCTGATGGGGTATGCTGAGCTGACAGAACACAGGCTCTAACTTTACTAACATCCACCGCTTTAATGTTTACATTTCACTGAAAACTTCTGCAGCTTTATTACGACCTGCAATAATAAAAGGCTTTTTCTCCCCCAACAGCTGTGCCGTACCCCCCGCAGCACAAGCTAACGATGAAAGAGCTATTTGAAGACGGGAAGCCCAACGCTGAGCTGCTCCGCACCCACCTGGTCAAAGAGGGCAGGGTGGAGGAGGACGCCGCTCTGAAGATCATCAACGACGGGGCCAACATCCTCCGCCAGGAGAAGTGCATGCTGGAGGTGGAGGCGCCCATCACAGGTAGAGGCTGCATCATGCTGGGGGGTGGTCGAAGCTTTTTCTGGTGCTGGAGTTAAGTCACTCTTTCTGTTAAGCATAGCTCTTTGCTCTCTCTGTATCAACCAATACGCTGTAGGAGCAAATATGGCTGCACTAAAGCAGCCGAGAGGCCACGCCCCCTTCTCTAAACCACTGATTGGTTGTTTTGGGTCCTGCTGGAAGGTGAAGCTGCGGCCCAAGCAGGTTTTGCTTGAGGATCGTCCTGCTTTTAGCTCCATGCGCCCCCACAGAATGATGCGGCCACCCCCGTGTTTCATAGTGGGGAGACTGTGTTCAGGTAGCTGTGCACGCAGTGCAGCCCAGCTTTGGTCTCATCAGACCACAGCTCCTGTTTTAGATGTTTGATGGTCCGTCTTCTCATGTTTGCAGTTATCGTTTCATTTTTATTTTAGATGATAATTTAACAATCATCTGTTGGATAGAATAATGTTTCAGGATCAAACACAGTTTTAATCTTCTCCACATACTTCTCCCTCACCTGTCTGCTGGGTTCCTTGGTCTTCATGCTGTTTGTTCTCTAACGTTCTCTAACGAACCTCTGGATGCAGAAACTAAACAGCTGGATTTACTCTGGAACAAAATGACTCATGCGTAGACTTCTGAATTTAAAGGTATAGAGAACGATCTTTTATTTCCAGCTGGATCATCTAAATAAATGGTCCATCTAATTGTCAATCATTCTGGTGATATGTTTACGTAAGGCCGTCCTACGTGCTCGTCCCTTTAGCTAGCTTTTTCTGCACATGTGCACTTTCAGAATGATGAAAAAGGGGTCCCTATGTCCTCCAGCAGTCTAAGCCTATAGCAGCAGAACTATAGAGATAGCTCAGGATAACCTGAGCCACTCTAACTAGAAGCTTTATCAACAAGGAAAGTTTTAAGCCTAGCCTTAAAAGTAGACAGGGTGTCTGCCTCACGGACTAAAACTGGTAGTTGGTTCCACAGGAGAGGAGCCTAGTAACTAAAAGATCTGCCTCCCATTCTACTTTTAGAAATTCTAGGAACCACTAGTAAACCTGCAGATTGAGAGCGAAGTGCTCTGTTAGGAACATAAGGAACAATCAGATCTCTGATATCAGATGGAGCTTGGCCATTTAAGGCTTTATATGTGAGAAGGAGGATTTTAAATTCTATTCTGGATTTAACAGGAAGCCAATGAAGAGAAGCCAGGATAGGAGAGATATGATCTCTCTTTTTCATTTTCATCAGAACTCTGGCTGCAGCATTTTGGATCAGCTGAAGGCTTTTAACTACAGTTTGTGGACTTCCTGATAGTAAAGAATTACAATAGTCCAGCCTTGAAGTAACAAATGCATGGACTAGTTTCTCAGCATCACCCCTGGACAGGAGATTGCTCATTTTTGCAATATTCCTCAGATGAAAGAAGGAAATTCTAGAAACCTCTTTGATCTGGGATTAAGCTGCTTGTAAAAGTTTGTTGAAAGTCAAAGAAAGAAAGATATAAAAGTCCTGTGATAAATCAACAGCCAAATATTCAACCCTTGTTTTCCAAAGTTAGAAACGCGACACTGACTCCCTGTGAGCTCCAGCTCTGCCGCTCTGAAGCTGACCTTGACATTTAAAAGTGAACACAGTCTGTCAAAGAGCTCCTCATCAGGATCATTAAGCAGAACCCAGTCGTCATGTTTGGGAGGAGTTGAAACCCGAGGAAGCTCCGTGTTTAAAAATGGCTGTCAAAGCACTTGTATGGAGGAAGTTTGACTGCGTCTTACTGTCCAATCGGTGACGACTCCCATCTTTAAAGGATGAGGAGGCGGGCCTATTGGGAGGAAGATAAACAGATGAGAGTTTAAATGGGAAACCATAGAACATTCCTATCTTATCTTTTAAAGTTTTCTATAATCTGAAAGGTTTCTACTGGCGTGGTTTTTCACTGAAAAGTCGAGGAAAATTTAACTAGAATAAAAAAAACAATCTGAACTTTTCTGTTAACCAATTAGAGACAGGATGTAGTTATGATTTTTGGCAATGGAGCAGCAGCAGTGGCGAAGAACCTTTGTTCAGTTAAATACTCACCCGATCAGTCTGGTGTGTGGTCTGCACGGTCCGCGCTGATTGTTTAGGATAGAGTTGAAATCTGAAGCGACGGCTCCAGGCTGTTACAGCTTTTAGACCCATTTTTATTATTGCAGAGCAGCTTTATTCAGTTCTATTCAGTGTATTTCTATAGCAGTCCAGGAAACACAGCCAGACAGACGAGCTCCAACAAGATTCTTGTTGTCGTAGTTTTGAGAGGCAGACTGTAAAGTCTGCCTCTCAAAACTACGCTGGGAGATGTTTGAATGTCACTTGAGGAGTTTCTCAAAAATCGGGACAGGAACCTCCTTCACTTTTCATAGATTTATATAATATCATAATATCACAAATAGTGAAAATTGTATTTTCTGTCGATGGTACAAGCATTTCTGAAGTGTAGACAGAATCCCTTATTCCCGAGGCCTTTATTTCTGAATCCTTTATTTCCAAATCCCTTATTTCTGAATCCTTTATTTCCAAATCCCTTATTTCTGAATCCTTTATTTCCAAATCCCTTATTTCTGAATTCCTTATTTCCGAATCCCTTATTTCCCGAATCCCCTTTTCTGAATCCCTTATTTCCAAATCCCTTATTTCCGAATCCCTTATTTCCCGAATCCCCTTTTCTGAATCCCTTATTTCCGAATCCCTTATTTCCCGAATCCCCTTTTCTGAATCCCTTATTTCTGAATCCCCTTTTCTGAATCCCTTATTTCTGAATCCCTTATTTCTGAATCCCCTTTTCTGAATCCCTTATTTCTGAATCCCTTATTTCTGAATCCCTTATTTCTGAATCCCTTATTTCTGAATCCCCTTTTCTGAATCCCTTATTTCTGAATCCCTTATTTCTGAATCCCCTTTTCTGAATCCCTTATTTCTGAATCCCTTATTTCTGAATCCCTTATTTCTGAATCCCTTATTTCTGAATCCCCTTTTCTGAATCCCTTATTTCCAAATCCCTTATTTCCGAATCCCTTATTTCCCGAATCCCCTTTTCTGAATCCCTTATTTCCGAATCCCTTATTTCCCGAATCCCCTTTTCTGAATCCCTTATTTCTGAATCCCTTATTTCTGAATCCCCTTTTCTGAATCCCTTATTTCTGAATCCCTTATTTCTGAATCCCTTATTTCTGAATCCCCTTTTCTGAATCCCTTATTTCCCGAATCCCCTTTTCTGAATCCCTTATTTCTGAATCCCCTTTTCTGAATCCCTTATTTCCGAATCCTTTATTTCCGAATCCTTTATTTCCAAAGCCCATATTTCCAAATCTCTTATTTCTGAATCCCTTATTTCCGAATCCCTTTTTTTCTGAATCGTTTATTTCCGAATCTTTTATTTACAAATTACTTATTTCTGAATCCCTTTTTTCCAAATCCCTTATTTCCGTATCCCTTATTTCCGAATCCTTTATTTCCGAATCCTTTGTTCCCGAATCCCTTATTCGTGAATCCCTTATTTCCGAATCCCTTATTTCCGAATCCCATATTTCCGAATCCCTTTTTTTCCGTATCCCTTATTTCCGAATCCCTTTTTTTCCGTATCCCTTATTTCCGAATCCTTTATTTCCGAATCCTTTGTTTCCGAAAACCTTTATTCCTGAATCCCTTATTTCGGAATCCCTTTTTTTTCCGAATCCCTTTATTCCCGAATCCCTTATTTCCGAATCCCTTATTCCCGAATCCCTTTTTTTTCCCCAGAGTCCTTTATTTCTGAATCTTTATTTCTGAATCTTTATTTTTGTCTCTGTACCAGCTAGACCCGGGATCGGTCTACTGAAACAACACTTAATGTACGATTTAAAGCTACAGTGTGTAATAATTACAGGGATATAAAGTCAGAAATTTATTAAATTATACATAACTATGTTATTTATCATCACCTATGAGCTCAGCCTTTTAACCATAATATTTGCGTTGCCTTAGAATTTGTTATTTATAATTACATAGGAGCGGGTCTCGCAGCCATGGAGGCTGACATCTTTGCGCTACGGCAGCGCAGAGCCAAAAAACTAGCGATTGCGAGATCTCCCATTACGCTCGAAAATAACTACGGCAAGTTGAGAGAGATTAACTGAGACGGTACTGAAGAGTAGATGGCAGTATTATGCCTGAGAAGCGTTTAGTCTGCCTGAAACCAAAGAAGAAGAAGAAGCAGGTATACTGCGCCTCAGTAACAAGAAAGGTGAACAAGGCGGCAGGCGTGAGCGCCTTTGCAAACTGTTTGGCCAAACATCAGATGAATGGAGGATCATGCCTACTCTGTATCACAACGAAAATCGGCGGATAACGAACCCCCGTCATCTAAGAAGCGGAAACACGACGAGAATAAACGCAAGCGTGACAAGAAACGGCAAAAAACACGGATCAACATTGGCACGGCATTTCCACGATGGAAGTCACTGATGGAGGAAAAAGGTTTTCAAAGTGACGCTCAAGTTGCCAGTTTTCTCTTCGACAGGTAATTAATCCTATACACACAATTGTCTAATATCACTGCAGTTTTTGGAGTACAGGATGCTCAGACCTGTCTAAAACAATAACATGCTGCGTGATGATGCTGTTACTCTCCAGTATACTTATTCAGCAACGTCCCTGACGTTTCACAGGTAATGATTCAGTAATTTTCTGTAAAATAATTTTCTGGATATATACCTCGGTTACTTCTCTCCGGCTCCTTTGGAGATCTTCAAGCCTTTCCTCCTCTGCTCTCACCCCGCTGGCACCCCTCCCTCGCCTGGCCCTGGCTGCACGCTCACCCCGGCCTCTCTGCCCTCACCCTCTTCCTCTCCCTCTTCCTTGCCTTGTAACCCCCGTGCAACAAACAAGACTTGGACTCTGTAAACGGGGAATATATATTCTTCTAGCGAACACAATCTCGCTGTTAAACTAATGACTACAATTACTTCGTCTGTTTATATCACCATGCAAAGCAGCTCACCAAAACGTCACAACGACGTAGAAAAAATAACGGGTATATTTACTATCTAAAGTCTACATGAAATCTATACCCTACACAGACTAATGAAATACTATCTGTAAAATTATCTATGTAAACAAACCTCATCACTTGAGAAGGTAGGTGATGCGGACGTCGTGGCAGACATTTTGTCCCGTAACGCTCGCCGTACTGTTGGGGGGGAGAAGCGGTGGGGGGGAGACGTTCATGTTGCTGCAGTCTGCAGTCTGGACGTTAGATGTCACTGAAAATTACACACTGTAGCTTTAAGGATAAGGAAAATACACATTTATGCTTCAACCCACTAACTTGATTATAGAATCGAATATCGCTCTGACATCCTGTTAAATGCCACAGATATTCTGCCACTTAATCAAAACCTAAAATGATCGCCTCAGCTTGTGCAGCGATGGTGTTTGTGTTGCAGGCTGTCATCAAACTGCAGTTATTTCTTGTTTATTAGATAGAAGTAGGTCGCCTTTGTTCATGGCTGCCTGTGAAATGCTGGAAGCTCCATACTGAGCAGAAACCTGCCAGAATATATGTTGATTTAATGTGCAGCAGCAGAGATGTTGTTAAATCCCTCCCACACAGAGATCCCTTGTAGGGCTGATGTTTCCACACAAATTACTGCCCTGCTCTTTAAAACACAATTATTTCATCTACAGCCTCGTCCATCAACTTCTATCTATCTTTTGTTATTGCACCTTTTTTCCTGGATAACCTCACTGAGACAGAACCTCATCCTCAGAACAAACCTGCTCTAAATACAAGATTTCTCCAGTTTTGTAACCTAATTACAGGCTAATCCATTTAAAACACGGGTGGAGAGCCTAAAACGGAGATGACTGTAGACTCATTTCCTGCTAATATCGGCCAAAGGCACACCAAACATTTGCTGTAAGCATCATCGTCTCTTTTGATTCCTGGTTTAGGGGCCAGAATCTGTGAAAAATTGAGAAATTAAAGGAGATGAAGTTTCAGATTTTGAAGTGAACATTTAAAACCAAGGATTATTCCTGCCCTGAATATTACGCTCATGGCGCTGAGTATTAGGGCCCGAAAATCTCTAACCTGCTAATGCTCCATCATAGAACATAAACACATACAGTGAAATCTGTAAACAAGTTATTTATTATGTTTATAGCTGTTAATTGTGTTTAAATCTTCCAAAGAAGTGTAATGATCATGTTTCCATCTAGAAGGTCTCATTGCAGTTATCTTCCAGCAGGTATTAGAAACCGAATGATGAAGTTCTGCGTGTTTATCTCTTGGCAGTATGCGGTGACGTTCACGGACAGTTTTTCGACCTCATGAAGCTGTTTGAAGTGGGCGGATCACCCAGTAACACGCGGTACCTCTTCCTCGGTGACTACGTGGATCGAGGCTACTTCAGCATCGAGGTAAGCTGTTGCTGCAACCGACCCACAGTGAGAAGGTCTGCAGGCGTAATCAAACACTTTAACCGTCGGTGAGGTGAATGTGCATGAATCTAATCACCAGTTGGCCTGTTTTGGTTTTTCTTTAATCATTGACATTTAAAAATGTTCTATACTGGGGGTAACCAATTAAAAATCATCGGGGTACGAATAAAGAAAATCATCAACCAGTAAAGGTCCAGAGACATTTTAATTATAATCTGTTACTTTAAACAGAATTTAACACTGAAATAAAACGAGGTTTTTATGCATCCATGTTTTACATTGACTTTTTAAATAAAAATTATAAAAGATAGAAATTTTTCCCATTTTAAAATCAAAATTATTTTTGAAGTATAGAACAACAATCGTTCAGTTTGGTATATAGACAATTTCCTGACTCACTTTTTTTTATGAAACACCTGAACTGAGTGTTTGTTATTGTTTTTTTCTGTCTTAATGAGAGCAGTGGGCTTTAAACCCGGGTTTGAATGGAGACAAAGTAGCAGCAGCAGCAACCCAGACTGACAGCTCATTGGCTCATTTCGATCACGTGCAGCCTGGAGCCGGACGCTCCGGAGGGCTTTACCGTATTAACAGGAGAGGAGGAGCAAGTGACGTTAAGACACTGTCGTCAGACAACTTTCAGTAATTTATAAATGTTTTAAATCGGGTTGGGTCCGCATCTGGTCCGCTAATCCATGACCTCTGTTATAAAGTCTTCCAGCTGCTGGGAGGAAGGATCTGTGATAACGCTCTCTGGTGCATTTAAGGTGCAGCAGTCCAACAAAGATGTTCATTTAGTTAGGATCCGTCTGTTTCCCACCTCCTGCTCTGAGTCCAGAGTGCATCTAATCACAGAGCTGGCCTTCCTGATCAGCTGATCCAGACGCTTCCTCTCAGCTCCAGATAAGCCACTGCTCCAACAGACAGCTCTATAGAAGATGGCTGATGCCACAGCAGTCATAGGAGGTCTTCAGGAGCGCTCCTAAAGACCTCCGTCTCCTCAGCAGGAAGAGTCTGCTCTGACCTTCCTGATCCAGAGCCTCAGTGCCGGGAGTCCAGTCCAGTGTTTATACTGAGAGTTCTGCAGAAATCACTTGGATGGCGTTTCCGTCTCCCTGACAGACCCCACATCAGCTTCTCTGATTGGTTGAAACGATCGTCTAGCTATAAAAGTTCTGATTTTCAACTTCTGCCATCTACGGCGTTGAAACGTGCCAAAGCTCCTCCTGACATTGACCGTTTTAGAATCTGCATGTGAACCAGCTGACGCTCAAAACATGTTACCTGTGATGTGGTTTGTAGCGCTCAGGGGTGCGGGGTTCAACGAGGAGTTCCTGTAACTCTGTGGGTTTACATTACTTGAATCAGTTTTTCTCTTAGTTTTTGTTGTTGACTTTTGTTCTCTGTTTCAGTAAATTAACTCGATCAAGTCTTTTCTAGCGTTCCACGGTACAAATTAGGTGATATAATTATGTATGGTTTGTCCTCATATCATATCGGGTCAATATTGGTGGCGGTCAGTTCTTAAAGGGCCAGTCACATCTTGCCGAATTATCCAGCGTCTGCCTGACATCCCAGAATGCCAGAACACTGAACTTTCTATATATTGTTTTTCAATTTTGGGCGTATACATAGAGTATTCATAATGAGTCCAGAACTTATGACCAACAACAGCCTAACTTATGCATAACGCACGGCAGCGTAATGCCCATGAAATGATGCACAAGCCAGTGTCCTGAGGGGGGCAGCGACGCGCCTGGAGGCGCCTGGCCTGCAGAAAAAGTTACATTTTATTGCGATATTAACTTGCTGCTGTTTACCACCTGCCAAAAAAATAAAAAGGAAGTGTGTTGGTGGTGGGCGTGAACGCAGGGAGGATCCATCACTCACCTTCTGGCTCCCCCTATGATGGGGATGAAGTCTGGAGGAGAACTGACGGTTTCCTCCTGTGAACCCCCTTTATACCAAAACGCTGCCAATACGCCATTATACAGTAGCTGGAAGTTAGAAACACGTTCAGCGCTCGTCTGGAACACGGCAGATACGTTGATATGTGTTGGAGAGAAGTTCTGGATAAGTTACGCAGAAGTTACTCAGAGGTTTAGGATCAGCTAGACGCCACGACTGATGAGGAACTGACACTGAACGGATGATTCGTACTTGATCGACAGCCGATACCGCACCGTGACGTCTAGAGGTGAGTATTGGCATGAGTGTTGCGATTCGATACATGTCGCGATACTTGGGTCACGATACGATATTATCACGATATTGCAGTATCACTATATGTTGCCATATTTTCCCCAGCTATCAAAATCAAATGATGAGATAAAACAGCAAGTGCTGGATATTTTCATCAGAAAATATTGATTAGGTATTATTATCCATGTTGTTTGGGGTTTTCTTCCACTGCGACTGCCTCAAATACAGATTTGGTGCTGCACGCACAGTTAAAGGGCTCCACAGCGCTTTCTGCCAGAGTGGTGGTGCAGAGGTAGCCCATTTTCCCATCAATGTTTTATGTAACCATTTTTTTTAAATCGATACTAAGAAGTGAAAGATCGATATTATATTGGGCAGCCGAATATCACGATATATCACCAAAACGATTATTTCCCACACCCCTAGTGACGTCACAAACCAGTAGGTGGCAGTAGTGTTCTTTGACAAACATGGATGCCTCCAGTAAAGCACATTCAAATGAACATTATTCTAAATTAAAAAACACGGATTATTTATTGAACAGGATGTAAGAATTTCATATTTAAAGTAATTTCAGAAGTTTGAATTCTGAATATGAGCGGACTTTTCCTTTAAAGGGGACCCTTGATTTTACGTTATTACGTCATGTTCTACTCACTCATATGAGTTTTCTGTCAAAAACTCACAAAGTGGCGCATGTATGACATCATCCGCTGAACTGCTGCTAGTTTTCCTCACATGCCTGGAAGATGTCTAGAGCTGCTACCACAGATGATCTCGCTCTCCAATTGAACGATTCAGATTAGCTAGAATGAATAGAAGGGGTAGAGCGTAGCCGCCTGTGGCCCGGGCTGCCTGTCACAACTCCAGTCCGCCGCGGATGACGTCATACACACGCCGCTTTGTGAGTTTTGACTCAAAACTCAAGCCGTTTTTCAATTCACGAGAACGTGAGTACGTACTCGCTTTCTCATTAAGTCCGTTCTTGGCGAGAACGCAGGAAGATCGGACTTGACAAGAACGCGAGCACGCAAGCACGTACGTGTATTGGAACAGAAGCGTACTCGTGACGTCATCACATGCAACGTTCTTTAGCATTTCTTTAACAGTCAAAACTATTTATTCCCTACACAAAACATTTTGAAAACAATATTTTTAATTTCTAAAGCTTAAAAAACAAAAATGACCGAACCGTGGGTATAAAACCAGCAATGGCGGGCCGAATTAAAGCAAAAAAAACGCCATCAGAACGAGCGGTAGTTCACACATAACTAGACCGAGAGAAGTGCACTACAGACGGGGTAAATTTAGCCCTGGCTGCGGTTACCCTCGGAGGTCTGCTGGTCACTCTGGTCCGCTCAACGTCGGACTTTTTTTTTTTTATTTCACACTAACTCTGTAAACAGGCCACACAGGGAGGCTTAAATGTATAATGTTATCGCCTCAAACGATTTCAAAACGTACTTTTGAAGAACAACAGCAGCAGAAAAGGGAATGTTTAACTTAACACTGTGAGCGCTGTCTGGAATCAAGCTGCGGCCGCGGGGCATTCTGGGGAAGCGGTCAGTCTGAAGAACGCACAAGTCTGCTCTGATGCATGCTCGATAAAGAGGGCGGGGCCAGAACAACATCCAGGGATTTGATGCGTTCTCGATCTGGCGTTCTTGAGAATTGGAACGGTACTCGGGCTGAGGCTGATGACGTGTCACGAGTATACGAGAACGCTCAAGAATGCATATTGAGAAACTGCCCCATATGAGTGAGTAGAATATGACGTAATAACGTAAAATCAAGGGCCCAATGTAAAAAAAAAATGGTGTTCCCCTTTAAGGCACTTTAAAACTTTATTTGCCTCCTGTTTTCTGTGGAGTGGATGCTAACTGTGATCTAGCTCTCTGGTTTTAGTGTAGTCCAACATTAAACTAGGGGAGAAACTTTGTGCTGGTTCTGGTGGGTTTTCCTCTCAAATGAATGTTAAAACTTGGCTCTATGACATGCATGGAGATAAAAACTTGATTAAAAATATAAATGTTCTGAATTATTTTAGATAACATACTGTTCTTATGTTATTTGAGTGAAAATCTAGAATAAAAACCTTCTAAGTGTTTTGCTTTTCTGCCCTTTATTTCAATTCTATTCAGTTTATTTCTATAGCTCCAATTCACATCATGTCATCTCAGGTCACTTTCCAGTTCACCAGATCATCCAGTCAGATTGATTCAAAGTTTTCTATCTAAGGAAAACCAGCTGATTGCATCGACTCATTGACTCTTCAGCAATCCCTCACACTAAGCATACTTGTAGCGACAGTGGAGAGGAAAAACTGCCTTTGAACAGGAAGAAACCTCCAGCAGAACCAGGCTCAGTGTGAGCGGCCATCTGCTGAGGCCCACTGGGGTTCAAAGAGACAGAAGCAGACATAGAAAAAGAAGCATAGATAAAAAAAGGCAATTAAACACTAAAGAATGCATGAGGTCATGAAAAGCAAATGTTAGCCGTGTATAGCTGTTTAATTTGACGTCTTATCTGCTTAGTAACCGCATGCAGCTGGCGAAAAATAAAAAACAAAGTGCAGAAAATAAAGGTGTGGCGTTGTGGTTATATATTATAAACCAAACCAAACCAGACCTTCCGTGAAAATGAACATTTTCTTCTGTTTCAACTGGAACTGACTTGAATGGCTCTAAAACCAAACAGACTGAATGGAACAGTTAAAGGAATATCCAGTGGAAGTTAGAGCTCAACGTATGACGTTATATTAATCAGTTTAAACGATGATGGTAATGGTGATGATGATGATTCCTGAAATCACAAAGTCTGTCAATATGGTTTCCTTTCAGATCAGTTCAGTCTGCGGCCATTAATCTGCACAAACTGATCTACATAAGCAGAGGTGTCAGCAGTATTAACGTTTATTACTCAGGTAGAAATATAAATCCCTCTGTTTAAAAACACTTTTGTAGAAGTTAGAGGATTAATTTAAGCTTTTTTAATTAAGTAAAGGATAAAAGTACCATTTTTAAAACTACTTAAAGGTACAGTGGAGGATGTTTTTTTCTTTTTTTTTTTTTCTGGGTGGATCATCTAAAGCAGGAATCACGGATTAGCGGACCGCAGTCCGGATCCAGACCCAACCTGATTTAAAACATTTTTAAATTATTGCATGTGTTTAAACCTCACTTCCGCCTCTTCTCCTGTTAATACGGTAAAGCCCTGGGGAGCGTCCGGCTCCAGGCTGCACGTGATCCAAATGAGCCAATGAGCTGTCAGTCTGGGTTGCTGCTGCTGCTACTTTTAGACACAGCAGGCAAACCTGTGGCAAGCCGGGCGATGGGAAAGAAGGAGAAGACCATGAGAAAAAGAGAGCAGAGAAAGTGTGGACTGCTGGAAGAACTGCGGTGAACTGGTGAAAGAAAAGTGAAATGGCGTGCTCAAAGATGACCCTGCACATTTAGAGGATGTTTGGCTCAACCTGCTGCTGTGAAGCAGGATTCTCCACCATGAACAGAATCAACAATCAATCTGGATCCAGGCTCAAAATGAGCCCCCTGATATGTGCTTGAGAATGGCTTAGTCTCCGGTTAAACCCAGGTTTAAAGCCTTGCAGCGCGGCCTAAAGCCCACTGCCAACATTAAGACAGAAAAAAGAAAGAAAATGAACATCAGGAAATTGTCTATAAACCAAACTGAACGATTGTTGTTCTCTACTTAAAACACAAATTAGATTTTAAAATGGAAAAACTTTACATTTTTTATATATTTTTTTATTTAATAAATCAATGTATAACATGGATGCATAAACACCTCATTTTATTTTAGTGTTAAATTCTGTTTAAGGTATCAGATTATAAATAAAAATGTCTGAGGATCTTAAGTGGTTGATGATTTCGTTTATTTGGACCCGGCTGATTTTTAACTGGTTACCTCTGGTCTAAATAATTGGTCCTCCTAACTGCACTTGGATTTTTTTTTCTTATTTTAAAGGTAGATATCTTATTCTTTTCACAGATTCTCTTATTTACTCAAAAAACAATTGAATAATCCACTAATCTCAAGAAAATCTGTGTTTATAAAGTTTTCTGTTTATGAAATGTACAAAAAAAATGAAACCTGATTTAAACATCAGGCGTTTGATTAAAAACAGCATAAAGAAGAAAACACATGTTCCCTCGCTGTAAAGGCTGAGCTGTTTAGCATGGGATGTACAGTAGGAAGATGATTTAGTGGGCAGGATGCTAAGACACGGTTACCGTGGTAACAAGGAGTCGGTATTGCCTCTTCAGGCAGTGCTTTGCTCCTTTAGGCCAATCGTTTACCAAAGTCTGACATTCAGAGCAGGTTTGATCCATCTTCTCCTCAGGAAGTCCCTCTTTACTCCTGGGGGGTCGTCTGCAGGCAGTAGCTGCTTCCACGTCCAGGTTGGAGTCGCTCGGACTCATTCAGAGTCCAGGTTTCACCATCATTCCTGTCCTCGTCTGACTTCAGGCTCAGACATGAGGAAAGGACAGCAGAGCCCCCCCCCCCCCCCCCCCCCCCCCAGCTCTGATCACAACACTCCCCTAATCTCCCCCTAAATATGAATGTGAAAAACCAAGACGGTTGTATCAGCCGTCCCATTCTTATGTAAATGTTGGCATTAGGTGAGTCCAAGGCTGTTTCCGTGGCGTCGTGCTGCAGCGGCTCTAACAGCAGGCTGCGGTTGCTGTTAGAGGAGTGGGCTGAGAGTGACAAGTGGCAGCTACTGAGCAACGCAGACTGGAAAGCTGCCTCATTTGGACTAAAATGGTGGAAACATTATTGCTTTGACATGAAATGAGCCGGAGAAAGAAAAGCAGATCTCAGTCTAAGTTCATCCTCCTCATGGTGGGAGCTGAAATTAGAGGTTATTTAAAGTCTGGATGCTGAAACCGGAACATGGGTTGGATTTCTCTGTTCAGATTATGTTTCTGATCTGACTCTATGTGACTCTATTTAGGGCTGCAACTAATGGTTATTTAGCAAATTGATAAATCAGTGGATTTTTAAATTTTTTTATTAACCAATATGTGTGTGAATGTGTGTGTGTGTCTATGTATGTATATATGTATGTGTATGTATATAACGGTAGTGTGTATATATATACACGTGTGTGTATATTAGGGATGGAACGGTGTATGAAAACCGTCCGAACCGTTCGGTTCGACTGTCTCGGTTCGGTTCGCGTGTGTTGCGTTCGGTTCATGCTGCTCCTTTTTCTCATAGGCGAAGCGTTTACACTCCAGAGCAGAAGGTGGCGGTACTGCGACCAAAGCCAACCACCAGTAGTAAACAAGAAGAAGAAGAAGCGAAGCAGCGTAGCCGGTGTAGGTACCAGATTGACTCGGGGGCCTGCGCCTTTTGATGACGTCACAATACATAATTGTTTTAACGTTTGCACAATTGCGCAAAACATTTTGATTGGTCTGGACTTACTAAAGTAATTATAGCGGGGTGTAGGTTTTATTCGAAAGCGGGATTGCGGTTTGTAAACGGACAATTTTACGAAGAAATTCTCCATGGTCCCTGCGCCTTCCGATGACGTCACCGAATTCGCCATGGGCCTTGCGCCTCCCGATGACGTCACATTATGGCAACGCCAATCAAACAAACTACATTGAGCCCGCGGTCTGCATTTGTAACGACAATAAATTCAGGAGAATGAAGCTAAAGGGATACAAAAAATAAACTTGTAATATTACAAAACCAAAAACACTACGAATACAAAGTATATTCAGAGATTAAAGTCCCTCTGATACTGTTTAAGTGAGTGAGAAACTGCAGATTTGCCACATTTAAGATGGCGGACGCTCTGACGCATCTCAAAAGGCACAGGCCCCCGAGTCAATCTGGCAGCCCGAGTCAAGCAGAAAAAAATCAGTTGTTATAGAGAATTGTGTGGGTATGGCGAGTGGGAAAGAACAGGAGTTGGAAGACGCGCCAGCAGCACTTTATAGGTCTGCTGTATGGGACCACTTTGCATTTAGAGTGACCTACGATGACGGCGGGAAGAAAGCTGTGGATAAAAGTGCAACAGTGTGCAAGCATTGTGCAACACGTTTTGTTTATGCTAACAGCAACATGACCAACATGTCATGCTAACCCCGGAATCCCTCATACTCCGTCAGCGCTCCGCCCCGCTGCGCTCCAGACTGGCTGCACAAAGCAAAGCCTACAGCCATAGGGTTTCCGTGGATCATTAAAAATAATTACAATTCATAAATTTTTTTGGATTTTTTCATTAATTTCATTAATTTTTTATGGGATTTCGGGGTACACTGGAAAAAACAATCTAAAAATAAGTAGAAATGTCTTAAATTAAGTGTATTTACGCTTAATTTGAGTAGGTAAATGAGATAGTTTTCCAATGGAAAGAGTGTTTTTGCTATTAAATAAGAATAAAAGAAAATTTGATAAAATGCACTTGAAATAAGACAATACAGCTGTGTTTTCTTATTGTAAGTGTAAATTGTCTTGTTCCTTGGCAAAATATCTCTTTTACCTCCTGAATCCAAGATCAAATACACTTATTTTAAGAAAAAAAAATGTATCTAAATTTCGATTTTTTTTCCAGTGTAACAATCAACATATACCGAACCGAAAACCACACATGCATTGTATGTATGTATACACGCATGCATGTTCTGTATGATTATCCTGTAAATTAGTTTACCTTTATTTCAGTGATTGATCACAATAATCTCATTTTTGTTTTGGTTAAATTTGACTACAGGAAAATAATAAAAAGTTTAAATAATAGTTTATTCGTATTAGGATTATCATCAGCCAAGGAGGCCGTTTCACAAAGAGTTTCCTCAACCTCTGTTTCTGTTGGTAACCTTCTCCTCAGAGCTAACCTGGTCAGCAGCAGGTTTTATTCAGTAAACTCTGTGTCCTCCGCTCTCCTTACAGCCAATCATGCTGTTTCATATCCAAATTTAGTCTGATTTTTCTAGTAGTTTTGTGCATAAAAAAATATATATCATTCACTAGGTCCATTACACACATAAGGTTTAAAAAACAAACAGTGCAGGTCCATTTTAGGATGACCTTATTAAAGAATGATTTGTTCTTTTTCACAGAATTAAATATTTATAGGGAGAGGATTAATTGGTTACCGCTGATTTAGACCATTAGAAGCTGTTTTTATGCAAACAGAAACATTTTCTCTGCAGAGAAGAATGAAGGACTCAGGATAGTCTGGGATTGTTTAAGCTGGACTGGTCAGCGATCTCCTCATGCTGTGAGAGAATATAAGCTGCTGTCTTTATGACGCTGCTTCCCTAACATTGTTTTTTTTTTTTTAACCAGTGAGAATCAAATGTAAAGCTGGATGCAGGATGAAATAAAAGATTCATTTCTTATGAGTCTTCTTGTTTTCGGGGGTTCAAGGCAAAGTGGCTGCAGGTTTGAGTGTTTGTCTCTGAATTCGGAGCCTCCCTGCATCTCCTGCTGCCTTCCTACGATCTGGAGCCTCATGCAGAATAAAACCTCCCTCACACTTTCCCACCATTTTCTCCTCAGTGCGTTCTCTTCCTCTGGTCGCTTAAGATCAACCACCCCTCCACACTCTTCCTCCTGCGTGGGAACCACGAGTGCCGGCACCTCACGGAGTACTTCACCTTCAAACAGGAATGTAAGTGCACCACTTTCCTCCATATCCAGGCCGAGCAATCCAACGCTCTCCCGCACACTTTGCACCACTTCATGGTAGCCTGTCGGCGGGGTTTTAGACCGTCTGGGTGAAGAAGTGTGGCACGCAGCGAGCCGTCTGAGAACACAGCTTTAATCAGGATGTTTCAAAGCAGAAACTCAGGCAGGCCAGAGAGAGAGATGATCAGCGTAAAGTAGAGCTGAGACAATCTAATAATAGTAATAATCTAAATAATTTACTAATCGATTAATCGTTAACTGGAGTATTGAGACTAAAGCGCGCCTTTAGCTGATAGAGCGACCCACTTAGAGCAGGAATTATACCAAGATTGTAAATTCACGACCATAAGGCGCACAGTATTATAGGGCGCGGGTTTTATATACAGGTACATGTCCTCTACTACGTTTAAATACCTCTACTGCGTATTTAAAAATAGAGCGGGAGCAAAACTGAGTATGATTGTGCTTTATTCATGTATTTATTACAAAGTATTAATCAAACCTGGGAGCTGGCCGTGAGACAGACACATCGCTAATGACAGAGCGCTGTGATCGCTCCTCTGAAACAGTTTATTGACGCATAAATTAACTTAAAATGCAGAAATCTGCCGGCAGAATATGTTGGCTTTTATTATCCTGGTGCCTGCAGTTTAGATTGTACCAGTTAGTTCTGACGCGCGGCTGAAGAGGCTTTGCTGCTCTGACTGCAAAAGTGAGTCTGACGCGCGTTGGGCGGAGCTACTCTAACCTTTCTTTGCCTTGCAGCTATAGTTGCTGGAATCAGTGGGAATAAAGTAGTTTTAATATGTTTTTAAGTGGGAAAATCCACCTGAAAACTTAATTCAACAGCAGCCTCTGTCCGGGTCGCCTCCTCGCGGTTCACCGCGGCGGCTAAAAGGTGTTTTTCATCAAAATAATCCAAACTTCAGGCAGCAGGATAATAAAAGCGAACATATTCTGTCGGCAGGTTTCAGCATTTTAAGTTAATTTAGACGTCAATAAACTGTTTCAGAGGAGCGATCACAGCGCTCTGTGTCATCAGCGATGTGTCTGTCTCGCTGTCAGCTCCCAGATCAGCTGCTCTGATTGGTTGATTCGGCGCGTCGAGCAGCAAAACTTAAATTTTTCCATCTCGAGCAGCAGCGCGTTTGAATAAAACACAACGCCTGTATGGATGCTAACGTAGTACCTAATGAAGATCAGGTGGATGGATGGATAGATGGATGGATGGATGGATGGATGGATGGATGGATGGATGGATGGATGGATGGATGGATGGATGGATGGATGGATGGATGGATGGAATTTATGGATGGAGTTTAGCAGGCTGTCTCCACTGCAACAATAACAAACACCTCTCCTATTTCAAAAAGTTCTCTCTTTGTTCAAACTGGACATATATATACACGTGTGTGTGTGTATATATCTATCTATATATATATCTATATATAGATAGATATATATATATGAATGTATGTTTATATGTGTGTATATGTTTGTAGGTGTATATGTTTTTATGTACGTTTATGTGTATGTTTCTTTGTGTAAATATGTGTATATACCTATATATATATAGATATATATATATATCTATATATATCTATATATATATATAGATATATATATACACTATATTGCCAAAGGTATTTGCTCACCTGCCTTGACTCACATATGAGCTTAAGTGACATCCCGTTCCTAATCCATAGGGTTCAATATGACGTCGGTCCACCCTTTGCAGCTAGAACAGCTTCAACTCTTCTGGGAAGGCTGTCCACAAGGTTTAGGAGTGTGTTTATGGGAATTTTTGACCATTCTTCCAGAAGCGCATTTGTGAGGTCGCACACTGATGTTGGACGAGAAGGCCTGGCTCTCAGTCTCCGCTCTAATTCATCCCAAAGGTGTTCTATCGGGTTGAGGTCAGGACTCTGTGCAGGCCAGTCAAGTTCATCCACACCAGACTCTGTCATCCATGTCTTTATGGACCTTGCTTTGTGCACTGGTGCACAGTCATGTTGGAAGAGGAAGGGGCCAGCTCCAAACTGTTCCCACAAAGTTGGGAGCATGGAATTGTCCAAAATGTCTTGGTATGCTGAAGCATTCAGAGTTCCTTTCACTGGAACTAAGGGGCCAAGCCCAGCTCCTGAAAAACAACCCCACACCATAATCCCCCCTCCACCAAACTTTACACTTGGCACAATGCAGTCAGACAAGTACCGTTCTCCTGGCAACCGCCAAACCCAGACCCGTCCATCAGATTGCCAGATGGAGAAGCGCGATTCGTCACTCCAGAGAACGCGTCTCCACTGCTCTAGAGTCCAGTGGCGGCGTGCTTTACACCACCGCATCCGACGCTTTGCATTGCACTTGGTGATGTATGGCTTGGATGCAGCTGCTCGACCATGGAAACCCATTCCATGAAGCTCTCTGCGCACTGTTCTTGAGCTAATCTGAAGGCCACATGAAGTTTGGAGGTCTGTAGTGATTGACTCTGCAGAAAGTTGGCGACCTCTTCGCACTATGCGCGTCAGCATCCGCTGACCCCGCTCCGTCAGTTTACGTGGCCTACCACTTCGTGGCTGAGTTGCTGTCGTTCCCAAACACTTCCATTTTCTTATAATACAGCTGACAGTTGACTGTGGAATATTTAGGAGCGAGGAAATTTCACGACTGGATTTGTTGCACAGGTGGCATCCTATCACAGTTCCACGCTGGAATTCACTGAGCTCCTGAGAGCGACCCATTCTTTCACAAATGTTTGTAAAAACAGTCTGCATGCCTAGGTGCTTGAATTTATACACCTGTGGCCATGGAAGTGATTGGAACACCTGATTCCAATAATTTGGATGGGTGAGCAAATACTTTTGGCAATATAGTGTATATCTATATATATATATCTATATATATCTATATATATAGATATATATATATATCTATATATATATATCTATATATATCTATATATATATATATCTATATATATAGATATATATAGATATATATATATATATATAGATATATATATATATATCTATATATATCTATATATATATATAGATATATATAGATATATATATATGTGTGTGTGTGTGTGTGTGTGTGTGTCTGTATATATATCTGTATATGAGTAGGAGTGGGTATTGGGAAAGAAGTCATGATTGGATTTGAATCCCTATTCACATGCCACGATGCGATTCTATCACGATGCATCACGATATTTGAAATATTGCGATGCATCGCGATATTTTCACTGAACACTGTAAGAAAAAGACACAGCCCTTACCAGTGGCTGACTGGCTGTGTGTGATCTGGATTGTGTCTTCAATTGATACATAACTGAAAGCAACTGAATTCATACATAGCTGTATTTATTGAAACGACTTTTGGAGGTGTTGCCATGGAAACAAATACTGGACAGAAATATTACTATTACTGGCGTGGACACACTGACAAAATGATCTTAGGATTCATCAAACTTAAAATAACAAAATAAGGATAATCAGTGCCGTTTACATGGCCTCAGTGGTCCTTTTGCAGATGACGTGCATCATATCAATTTAATTTTTACCTTCTTTGTTTTTAAAGCCAAAATGCATCCAAGCATCTTACTTGAAATGTGATGGAGCCGGGCGAATTTTCTCAGTGTCCTCCATGTTTTGTTTACAAATGACTCGTCTCAGTATCCCACGGCCAGACATGCTTGTGACACAAGGCAGCGGGCGTCAACACATCCACAGCGACATCTGCTGGACTGGAAGTTGTATTCCACTTGATTTGGCTGATGTTCGCCAACCATTCATGTATTTTATTTGTTCATTTTTTTAAATTAAGAATCGATAGTTGGCGTCAAGAATCGATGCAGTAGATCACAAAAATTTGAATCGTGATGCATCGTCATGACGATTATTTTGCACACCCCTAATATGAGTATGTGCGTATATATGGATATGTATATATGTGTGTATATGTTTGTAGGTATATATGTTTTTATGTACGTTTATGTGTATGTTTCTTTGTGTGTATATATATATATATATATGTATATATGTATATGTGTGTGTATATATGTTTATATGTGTATGAGTATGTGTGTATGTATATCCTGTAGTATTGATAATGAACAGTGTCCGGATGCGTCGCCTCCTGCTTTATGAACAGTGACCTTCGCCCTGGTCTAACTGGACCTGTGGTATTGCTGCGTACCCGGTCATGTGCTGAACCAGTCTGTTTCTGTGTTTTCAATGCAGGTAAAATCAAATACTCTGAGCGGGTTTACGACGCCTGTATGGAAGCCTTTGACTGCCTGCCGCTCGCTGCCCTGCTAAACCAACAGTTCCTGTGCGTTCATGGGGGGCTCTCCCCAGAAATCAACTGCTTAGACGACATAAGAAAGGTCGGTCGTCCGGCGCCTTTCTGTACGCCCGTAGCAGAAATCACAGCCATTTATCTGACTGTGTGTTGTGCTCAACAGTTAGACAGGTTTAAAGAGCCGCCTGCATTTGGGCCAATGTGTGACCTGATCTGGGCCGACCCTGGCGAGGACTACGGCAGCGAAAAGACGTCTGAGCACTTCAACCACAACTCTGTCCGAGGATGCTCGTATTTTTTCAGGTATTTGGTCAAACCAGTGGCTCCCTAACCTGACTCCGCCAGATGGATTTGCTCCGCATGACTTTCTCGAAACCTTCCGTTGAAGTATTTTTGGGAAGGGGCGAAAATGCTGGTTAGCTGATTGGCCTATGTTGGTGATAGACGGGCCAAATAAACCAATCAGATCAACGAAGCATATGACGTACTAACAGAGCGACGACGAAGAGGAGCCAATTGATAGATCAAACTCTTGCCGAAACCAGTCGGGAGAAGAGCAAAAACATCTTTTCCTCTGAGAAAAGCCTCCAGAGCAGTGTTTTGCTCTTCTTTCAGTGAAGAAATACTCTGTAATTCCGACAAAACTTGCTCGATAGCCACGCTAACGCTAGTTTCATCGGCTGAAGCCGCCATGTTCTTTAGACTGAACTGTCGCGCTTCTCGTTGCGTCACACCTCAACCCGCCTCAAAGCCAACGCTGATTGGACGTTCGTTTGGTGAACGGCTCCAAATTTTCTTTAACGGAGAGTCTCCAGACTGATCTGCGAGTGAAATCTTGAAAGCTCGCGAGATCAGGATGGTCTCACGAGGCTAGTGGCTCCCTGCACTGCAAGCAACTTTATGGAAAGAAAATTCAGTTTAAATTTATCCCAAGTGGAAATGAACCAACAACCCCTCCTACCAAGACATGAAATTAAATAAAGTTATTAGCTGGAAGGAGGCCTGATACTGTTGAAACTTTTAACATGTGCTTTCTTAGGTAGAGGTTTCACTGATAAAAAGGCTCATTACAGATACGATCGCACGTTCAGAAAGGCACCGAAAATAGGTTAACAGATGCTCTTTGTTCTTTATATTTAGCGGAAATGGGTCAGAAATATTCGGTGGCAAACAAACCAGACTAGAGATGCTGGATTTTCTGGGTCACAACATAAGTGACCACTTTCAGCTGCACGAGCAAGTTTCTTCTAGTGTTGTTTTTTCACAGCCATCTTAGTTTTAGTCTTAGTTTGTCTTCAGGATGAAAACTATTATCAGTTTTAGTCACGTTTAGTCATTATTATACAATAGTTTCAGTCCGGTTTAGTCGACTAAAGCTTAAAAAGGTTTTAGTCTTTTTGTTGTAATTCATAAAACGGTTAATCTTTACACTTTTTAATAACCAGATTCCTTACCAGTGAAAAAAACTGATTTCTAGAATTCAAAAGAAAATTTTTATGAATTGATGCCCTACTTTATACAAAAACGCCTCAAAACAATTATATAAAGAAAGTACATCTAGTTCAAAATATCACCTGCATGAATTTAAATTTCGTTTTTTCTGATTTAGAGCAATTTGGTTCTTTACGTTAAACTTGTGAGGTTGGAGTTTATGCATCGTTTTAGATGTAAATATGAAAACATTTCCTGAAACCAGTCAGGAATTAGTCTGAATCGGTTTTAGGTTGTTTCCTTTCATGTATTTGAATTTGAAATCAACTTAAACCTTTTTGATGGTTTAACATGTGTTCCTCTTTCCTTCCTTTGCAGTTATGCAGCAGTCTGTGACTTTTTAGTAAATAATAACTTGCTGTCAGTAATAAGAGCCCATGAAGCACAGGATGCAGGGTGAGTGTTTTTCTCTACCTTTCAAAGCGTTAACACCATTAAAGCCCCGCCCCTCTCTGTACCCTAAGCTTTAACCTGATAAAGCAGCACAAAGTGCCGCCAATAGACAGTTTAAATATTTATTTATACTCCTAAATGAGCTCCAGAGCAAGTTGTTGCCTTAAAAAGACTCCATATAGTAGTAACTGCAGGAACATTTACTAAGTTTGCATTCAAGAGATAAAAGCCTTTTTAGAGTGTTGTGATTGTCTTTAACTTCCAGGTACCGGATGTACAGAAAAAGCCAAACCACCGGCTTCCCATCGTTAATCACCATCTTTTCAGCTCCAAATTATTTGGATGTCTACAACAACAAAGGTTTCTAACTTTCTTTCTTGTCATTATTATCCGTAAGTTTCTGTTTCCGGTGTTTTGTCAGACCAGCATACATATAGTTAATACGCAGTTATCTACGAAAAATAGACATTGAATTACCTCGACGGGCGTGTATCCCCTTGGTCATGTACAAAAAAACAGTTTCTCCAGGCAGATGTTGCAGATTTGCAAAAGCCAAATGCTACTTAGCTAATTACTCAACATCCATATTTTAAGAGCTTTTGTTACTCAGAAGTACAACAGAAGGACTTAGTTGTGCATTTGCAACAAGCAGATTCTCTCCAGCTCACCAGATAGCACTGCTGACTCACTTTCAACAAGGCTAAATCTTTGGTGTCACTGAAACAGATTTTCTAAGAACCAATTTCATGTGAGCATCACTACCAACTTCCATTATTTTGAATTCAATACTACATAAGATGAATCATGAATGTTTATAGATATGACACATGCCAATTAGTAGATTTTATCTCCTCTGGGTTTTTCACCAGAGGCATCTCGATTTGAATGTTGTGGATTCGCAACGTGTGCCCAAACAGGTACCAATGGATGCTGCATGCTTTGTCAACTAGTTTGCCTATATTTTGAGCAACAGTTTAACAGAAACGGCCTTCTGTCGGTGGAGAAAAAGTTGTCTTGAATTTTGTGAGAGAACATATTTTTTCGAATTTGGTTTTGTAAATTTTTTGTTTGTGACATTCAAATAAAGTTAACGTTCATATCAGATTCAGTCTTCAGTGTTACCACTCCGGGCCACTGTTGCAAATCTGCAACATCCCAGAATTCATTGCATGTGAAGGTCTCTCTCAAAAAAAAGTCTGAATTGTATACTACTACCCCATATGATCATTTTCTCCAAATATCAGATTTTTCCTGCAACTACAACTTAATTTAAGCCTGAGAGGGTTAAGGTCAGATCACCATAAGCTTCAGAAAACACCAAAAAGTCGGTAATTAAATAGTTTTTTTGTACATGACCAGGGGCTACACACCTGTGGAGGTAGTTTATAGTGTGTTTTTTCATACAAACCTAAAGGGATAAATGGGTATTGACTGTGGGTATGCTCACCTGACAGAACAGCGGCCTTGACGCCTCTGCTTTTTGGTTCCTCCTAGCTGCCGTATTAAAGTACGAGAACAATGTGATGAACATCCGACAGTTCAACTGCTCCCCCCACCCCTACTGGTTGCCCAACTTCATGGACGTCTTCACGTGGAGTTTGCCTTTTGTTGGAGAAAAAGGCAAGTTTGTTTTCTTTTTTCTTTTTAAGTTTGTTTGAGAGAAAGAAAAAACAAATCTGTTTTTGTTTCCATTGAACCAAGTTCAGAGATACGAAGCGATGAATAGCGAGACGTCAAGAACAGGAGAGGCCTGTCAGATGCCGACTTCACACCTTTCAAAATAAAAGCCTTTTAAACTTTGTCGTTGTGGATTTACAGCTTATACTGTAAATGTTTAAACCTAAATGATTGAGATGTTTGTATTTAGATGTTTTAATATTACCGTCTGATGATTCCCCAGGCTAGCAGAGAGATATCTCCTTCTATGTTCAGTTATCTGTTATGGCGGCTCCTCCTTAAGGCCAGAACACACCGAATCTCATTTTGATCCGACAGAGAATCATGTCAGACGAGGTTATGGCGTTTAGCGCTCATTGAAAGTCAATGGGGAGGATTTCCTGCAGGGGGCAGCGTAGCTCCAACTGAAATAGAGCCCAGGGCCGTTTCTCTGGGAGAACGGGGGCACAGCATGACCCTGGGTAATTTGGAACAGATGCGTACAGATGACATCATCACATTCAAAGCCAGTCTGGAGCTGCAATTCACCTCCTGTTATCAATAGTCTTTAGATAATAATAAATTGTTTTTCATTTAGTGGGGGAATAATAATGAACACAGTCAGATAAACACAATTTAAATGAACATTTTGCCAAATAAAACAATCAAAGCTCCATCAGAGCCAGCGGTCCTTCACACACAGCTATGCAGAGAGAGGGCCGCTGCAGACGGGCTAACGCTAGCCCTGGCCAGTGCGGACGGGCTAGCGTTAGTCCTGGCCGCCACAGACGGGCTAATGTTAGCCCTGGCCGCTGCAGACGGGCTAACGTTAGCCCTGGCCGCTGCGGACGGGCTAACGTTAGCCCTGGCCGCCGCGGACGGACTAACGTCAGGTAAAACTCCATCGGTATTTCGACGCGCTAAAATTACAGATGCTCCCGACTCGGCTCACTGACGCTGCATGATGTTATTATCGTTGTCTGGGCAACCACAACATTTTACATCATGTGGCAACGTTCAGCCAATCATGTAGCATAACGTCACTGGCAGGAAGCAGGACCCAAGCAGATCTGGTAGCTACAGGGTAACTTCTAGGCTGCAGTTCTGCCTGCCTTAGAAAAGTTACAGTTATTGCTTTTATTTTATTTATATTTAATTTCCTCATTTTTTATTCAATGTATGTTCAGCTTAAAATAAAAAGTTAAAAATCTCAATTTGGATGTGAAATCAGCAGAATATGTTGAGTTTTATAAAGTTTAATTGAAAGGATGTAAAACAAGCAAAACAACCTTTTCTTGTTATAATGGAGATTGACATAAATTCAGTATTTTTTCCTTCAATCCACATTTAATAAATTCCACATGAAGTCTCTATTTATTGATAAACATGTAGTAGTTTTAAAGTTGCAGCTGAGAAGCTAATCCTTTACGTTTGAACTTGTCTCCTCTGTGTTTCAGTGACTGAGATGCTGGTGAATGTGTTAAATATTTGCTCCGATGATGAGCTCATGTCAGAAGGAGACGACATGTATGAAGGTAAGTCCATCATGAGAAACGCTCAGATTCCTCTGATTTTGGTAAATCTCTGTAAAGCTCAGGCCATTTTCTTCTCTGCTGGTCGCTATGGAAACAAGCTGGTTATAATTCAGCTATCAGGTGTTGGTATGAAGGCCTTAAACCGCAGGTGTCAAACTCCGGCCCTGAAACCCGAACAGACTTGGATCTGATAATTTGCTCATTAGCATGACTGAGGAGAACCTGGCAGCCAAACACTCATTTGAACCTTTGCAGCTAAATTTAAACTGCTGGAGCTTATTTTAATGGTTTTACTGGAAAACCATTCAGTCTGAATACTACCCCCCCAATATTAACTATGTTCTCTGACTGGATGAGATAAAACCAGTAGGAATCACTGGCAGTGGGCGGTTAGGGCCTTCAAAGCCTTCACTGGCGGCCTAAAATCAGTCAGAAACACTAACCTACATTCACCTAACTTTCATTTTCTTCTGTCCAACTGTATTAATTTATTCCAAACAATCCTTTCTCTCTTCATATCATAGTGTTCCTTTTCCATTACATTTATCTGGTGGCTATATTTTTTATCCAATCACATTTCGGTCTCTGTGTTTTGCTATGGTAATCTAGTAGGGGAACCAGTAGGGGAAAACCCCCAAGAGGCGAGCGGGCCTGAGGCAGCTGCTGCTGGGGATTCCCAGTGACAGCGCAGCGCCGGTATGTGGGGGTCTGAGCGGCTCCCACAGAGAAATAATCTTTGAAGGCAGGATGGTAATCTGGATGAACTGACCAGGGCTGTGAATCTTTGGGATTCCCACGATTCGATATTATATATATTCTATTCCAGTCTGCTGGCATAAAAGAAGATGGGTGATGTCTTTCGAGATGAGAACGGGGATTTAAAGTACTCCCGAAATACTTAACTTTACTGTTGCAATCTCTGCAGATCGCATGAGTCATGTCAAGCCTTTTTTACCCTGGCCGGGTCGAAGGTAAAATCCAAAGTGTCAAATGGTTGCTTTTAAAGACCGCGGAGGCGGTTGAATTTCTTTTTCTTCGTCCTCCATACGTTAGCGGCAACAAACACGTTAGCTCACACAACACTACGCACCACTCTGTAGCCTGCTAGGCTAACGCTTGCATGCCTGTGCATAGCTCACGCTGCTCATTGGCTTCGCCAAACACTACGGTGCCTGATAAGGCAAAATAAAAATCATTTTTAAAGAAAATGAGAATCGATTCTGAGTCTTTAAATGTTAGAAACGCGATTTGAGCTCAAATCTAGAACTGACTGCACAGACCATGTTTTCAGGAGGACTTTCTCACCTAAAAATAGATTCAAACTACTTTTTACCCACTGATTACAGCAAATATAGCTGCCATTGTTACAGGAAAAGAAAGGATAGGGTAGCTCTGCCCGACCCACATTAGATCCACTTTTCGACTGCGCAGCTAGAGCGGCAGAGACGCTTCAGCTGCGCATAAGAACTAAACTTTTACAAGCATCAAAAATGAAGCAGAATTTGCGTTTTTGCTGCTTCTGCTGCGTGCGCTCTGAACGTAGCATTCGTCTAAATGAAAAGTTTCATCGCAAAACGCAATATGCGCCAAATTTGAATTTTTTAATCTACCTGTACCAATTCATTGCTGATGGAGAAGGCAATGTGGGTGCTGAATCATTTTTCAGCAAAACAAGTTAAGTCACACAGCTCTAAAACATGCCTTCTTTTCAAAACGCGATACAAGCCTGAACATTTCCACACAAACAGCGATGCATTCTCTCAGCCAATCAGCGCGCATGTTGGTCCTCTGCAGAAACAAAGAGGGCGATGCTTCTATGACAATCCTAGTAAGGTAGTCCAGGATGCCTTTATTCTGAGTTTAATGGACATTTCCAAACCAGTGTGCAATTTGTGTTATTCTGTTCAGTTAGGATGGTGAAATACTAAGCTACTACAGTTTTACAGTCACTACACGGTGTTTTATCTAAATCGTTTAAAAAAAGTTAATCTCAGGAAGTTATGATGGTTTACTGACAGTTGAATGTCTTGGGTGGTTCATAAAATAAGTTTGAATAATATTCAAGCAGTAGCAACGTGAAAATGCTGTTTTATAATCTATTTTTAATCCGAGATGTATATGTTAATTTGCACTTGGATATGTTGCGTTTTGCAAAAAAAAGTTATGAAATTAAAATTTTTCTCAAAAGTTTTACTTTTTCAATATATTTTTAATGCAGTATTTTATGCACTTATGAAATAAAGTCTAAAAAGATGGTTTTCTTCCTTTGTTATATATGATTATGGTTAAAAAAGAAAAAGTAATTTTTCTCAAATATTCTAAAATGGATATATGTCGTTTTGCGATGGAACTCTTCAAATGGAGCATTATGGTGCGTTCAGCACGGTTTTGGCATCAAAGCTTTTGATTTACATGCAAGTCTATGGGGGACGGCATCAAGAGGTCCAACGGCGCATCCAAGCGTTCGAAGCTGGAGTTCAGTAAATTAAACTTTTGCAGCGGGACGCTGGAGCCTCAGCCAATCAGAAAAGCTGATTCAGGAGTTTTTTGGAGGAGACAGACTCAACCTGTGAGCTGTCATCCCTTCTCCAGACATTCTGCATTTGAAACATAAACAAACATCAAGGAGTTAAACTCCAGAGGTTAAAAAAAGCTGGTAGAATGGATTGTTATGTAGAAGGAACAGAGAGCAGCTCTGATCATTATTGCTGCACTAAAGCATTTTTTAATGAACTATAGAGAAACAGTTTATAAATACCCAGATTAACTAGAAATTATGAACGTGAGCAGGAAATCCCCCACTGGCTGACCGCAGCAGAGAGCTTTCAGCGGGGATTTCCAGCGCTGCCTCCCGACGATATGCTCGAGGTCTGGCGCAATTTTAGCAGCAGAACCAGGCTCAGTGTGAGCGGCCATCTGCTGAGGCCCACTGGGGTTCAAGGAGACAGAAGCAGACATAGAAAGAGAAGCATAGATACAAAAGGCAACTGTCAACCAGCTCCACAGGCGGCCCCGTCCAGGAAACACACAGCCAGGCAGACGAGCTCCGAGCCAGCTCCCATGTCAGAGGATGAAGAGAGCACATCCAGTTAGTCACAGTCAGAGAAACAGGACTACACTGGAAAACAGGCCAAGCTCCAACATCTAGAAACAAAGGTGTTGATGGCAGCAGCACAGCTGATATTTCTCTCCAGGATGGAGTCACAGCCAAACAGGAACAGACCAGATGAAGCTACTATGAGGAAAAGAAAAGAGAGAGCAGAACGTTAGAGATTGAACTAACAGATTCTGCAGAGTGGGAGAATAGAGATAGAATGAAGCAGAATGATGAAAAAGGGGTCCCTATGTCCTCCAGCAGTCTAAGCATATAGCAGCAGAACTATAGAGATAGCTCAGGATAACCTGAGCCACTCTAACTAGAAGCTTTATCAAAAAGGAAAGTTTTAAGCCTAGCCTTAAAAGTAGACAGGGTGTCTGCCTCACGGACTAAAACTGGTAGTTGGTTCCACAGGAGAGGAGCCTGAGAACTAAAAGATCTGCCACCCATTCTACTTTTAGAAGTTCTAGGAACCACTAGTAAACCTGCAGATTGAGAGCGAAGTGCTCTGTTAGGAACATAAGGAACAATCAGATCTCTGATATCAGATGGAGCTTGGCCATTTAAGGCTTTATATGTGAGAAGGAGGATTTTAAATTCTATTCTGGATTTAACAGGAAGCCAATGAAGAGAAGCCAGGATAGGAGAGATGTGATCTCTCTTTTTCATTTTCATTAGAACTCTGGCTGCAGCATTTTGGATCAGCTGAAGGCTTTTAACTACAGTTTGTGGACTTCCTGATAGTAAAGAATTACAATAGTCCAGCCTTGAAGTAACAAATGCATGGACTAGTTTCTCAGCATCACCCCTGGACAGGAGATTTCTCATTTTTGCAATATTCCTCAGATGAAAGAAGGAAATTCTAGGAACTTCTTTGATATGGGATTTAAATGACAGGTCCTGATCTGTCATATTTTTTTACTTTATTATCTGAAATCAGTTTAATCCCATCCAAATGAAGTGACTGACTTATCAGCTTCTTTTTCACAGAAGCTGATTAGTCAGTCACTTATAGTAAAGTAAAATATATAATATTCCACTAAAGGAGTCAGGGCCTCCAGCAGAGGGAGGGGGTTAATCAGTGATTTTTGTCATCTCTGATGTAAAGTTGCCTACTGACACAAAAAAGTCCCTGTCCTTTAAGTAGGATTTAAACCAGTTGAGAGCTGTACCAGAGAGGCCGACCCAGTTTTCCAGGCGCTCTAACAGTGATCGACAGTATCGAATGCTGCACTGAGGTCCAATAGTACCAGCACTGTGGTTCTTCCGCTGTCTGTATTTATACGGATGTCATTAAACACCTTGATAAGGGCGGTCTCTGTACTGTGGTGAGCACGGAAACCTGACTGGAACACGTCAAAGCGGCTGGTCATATCTAAGAAAGTGTTTAACTGTTGAAACACTGCTTTTTGTAGGTCTATCCAATTGAGTGCAGAGGCATTTTTTTTCCTGGTTGGTTCGAAACACGCCCCATAATCACAGCTCTATGGAGCAGTATCAGACTCATTCTCACTAGAATTGAGTCGGACTACGTCAGGCTAGTCAGGATCCCCCTGGGGACACAAATCTCCCAGTGTCTATGTTTACATAGACTACAGGTATGTAGCATATGGGTTAGTTTCATCTGGATTTATAGACACATATAGCTGAGTATCATCAGCATAACAATGGAAATTAATCCCATTCTGTCTAATAATTCTATACTGATTGGGAGCACATATACCAGTGTTGTGGTCAAGACCACCTAATCTGAGACCAAGACAAGACCAATACTTTTAGGGTCCGAGACCAAGTCAAGACCAAGACTTTTAGGGTCCGAGACCAAGTCAAGACCAAGACCAGCGCCAGTATGGGACAATAAAATGTGAAACATGATCAATATCACTAAAATTGATCTAAAAGA